CAAAGCGCGTAAGATGATACAAGTGATGACCTTCAGCACAAGGATCATCAGCGCAGGTAGCCAGGGAGCCTCTGCAGTTAAAGGCAGGCTTGCTAGACAGCCCTAGGCATCCACACAGGCAATCATTAACAAAGCTATGGTTGCAATGGTTGAATCAAGATGAAGATATTGTGAGGTCGCGACAAGCCTTGAAGCGCCAGTTGAACCGGATCTGCTCATTTTCACACTCTGCATTTCTCCAAGCAGTACCCCAGACCAAAGGAATGCCAAAAGCAAACCACGGTGCTACGCAAAGACACAAACATCACACCACAAGTCACAACATTCACTTTGAAAAGGCCTTAGGTGATGCTTGAAAGGCACCCGAGGGGAAACATTTGCCGAGCGTGCACCGGTCAGGATGCTGGCAGAAGAGCCCCGCTGAGGAAAAAGCTTGGCGGCTGCTGGTCCGGGTCTTTCAAACTTGGTTCAAATGGCCATACTGTGGATGCACGAAATCTCTTCGGACCACTTTGAAACCGTGGGAAAACCATGGTTTCTTGGTATTTACAGTTGAATCATCATTGGGTTTCTTGGGTGGTGCAAGATTTTGTCCACAGTTCCGCAGAAATCACAAATTGTTCATTTATTGTCAAGGACACAGGGGGAGGGTTTTGTGTTTTTTCAGACCATTTTTTGCACCGAGCTATGTCAGTGATGGCTATGAGTCATTGAAAGGGCAGACAACCAAAGTGATGTTTACCTTTAAATGCTATCTGCCAGTAAGGGAAGCCAGGCAGTCATCATAAATCAAAGTCAGTTGTCCTGTAGGCCAACATTTTCAGGATGGATTTGGATGACGCAATAATTAACTCGAGTTTCATTCAACGCACGCGTCAGACAAATTGATCATGCAGCGGGGCTGTTTCTTCTCTGCGTAATTCTGGTTGGTGGGCACGTCAATGTGTGCCATGGACACCCCCTTGGGTTGGAAGGGGCTGGTGGAGAAGCCTTATGAAGGTTTGGCAACCGGATTCACAAACCGTTCGAATAGTAGGGGGTGTCCCCTTTTTAGCGGGGATTCACTTTTGGAGGGGAACGACCTATCAATAAAAGGTTTATTAATCCGGGGTCAACAGGAGGAAAGGGAGCCATGACCACCCGAATCTGAGGCAGCGGCTATGGGGGCGCCCGTTTTTGTAGCCGTGCGCTGGTACCAGCAGAGGCCTGGCACTGATGAGGGTGCTGGGTGTTCCTTGATTTTCAGCTGGTGGTGTTTACGGGCATGAACGGATCCAGTTCTGTGCCAGAGTTTGCCATGACAACGTCGGACCGTTAGACAACCTTTGGCCCGGGGAAAGTGTAGAAAGCCGAAGGTCTCATTTTCTATGTCGAGGTGGTCAAAAGCTACCTGTTTTGCGCCTTCCCAATGAGCAATTCCAGAGCACCCAACTCACTCGCCCAATTGGCCTAAGCCCGTGGAGGCCAGCCACGAACGTGAGATCGAACATAGGCGGAACTCGGGCATGCAGGGATAAATTAATTAGACGGGATCGATGGTCAACGGTCTGGCCGTGCCATGTTCATGTTTTCCGGGGGCAAGCGGAAAGTCGCGAGATGGTTTGAATAGCACCCTCGGGACAAGCTCTGCAATGATACCCCTTAGGGAAGCCAACTTCGGGTTCCGTCTCTCAAACAGTCCTCCCAAGAGTCGCCGGTTAGAGTTGCACAAGCATACTTTCCTCGTTTTTTCTTGGGTAGTGTGTCTAGCGGTACTACCCTACATGTGGCTTCAACATGTGTGAATGCGGTTTGTTGTTTTTCTTCGCATGAAACTGGAGGTAGTGCTGGAGCTTGCAGTGCGGCGGGTTGGGCACACCGATATGTTCTACTTTTGTCTATGTATGCTCTCATGGACAGAAAGCAGGAAGGCGGAGGCAGGCTTCGCTCTGTGTGTTGACCGTGCCGCGAAGAAGCAGCTTGTCAACATGGATGATCGTTTGACCACCTGTTTGGTGGCTAAACAAAGCGAACCAGAAGTGGTATTTGGAGAGGCCAAGCCAGAGGTTGTCAGATGTACGGAGACCACCTAGTGGTAACTTCCAATGGATCCCCAAAAGGGCCCACCCCACAAGTCACAAGTCCGGCGCGCCTTCCAGGTGCCCAAGTTCCTGGATTTCAACTCCTACCTGGCCTCAAGCCGGGCAGCTTAGCGCACATCGGACCCCGTGCGGAAGTCGCTTTCGGTTTTCACGGCACGTCCGAGGTCGTTTGTTTCAATCAAATCTTTGGGTTCCCAGTGTCCCTGCCTGAAAAGATCAACGGGCAGGAAGCCCGTTGGACCAGGCAAGGCTTCGATGCGCTAGTGCGCAGATAGCGATGTGGCTCGCCAGGCGCACGAGTCCGATCTGAGGTTGCCGCAGACGGCCCTTGTGATGGCCGCGTTCGGTTGGTCCAAGCTTTTCTGGGCGGGTTCTGCAACACAAATGGTGGGTTTTCTGGTTTTGTTTCTGTTTCCAGTTCCAAACCAGGGTTCTCTGTTTTTGGACACATGCCACGCATCTCCGGGCTGTTTGGACCATCTTCGCAAGCTGATTCGACTTTTGGTGTAGTTGGTTCCCCACAATTCAATTGGAACAACCCAAAAGGGGTGACCTTTTGCAAGCAAGTGCTAGTGAGCAGCTAGGGATTTGTTCATCCCTGCTTTCAAACAGCTAAATGGTCCGACACTGTTATCAAATGCCCCTGGGCAATCCTTGGCATGTATGTAGAATCTGCAGAGATTCTAAGACCTGGTCTGATCTAGTTGTCGCAAAGTATGTTTGCGGTCTATGACGACAGTTGCTTCCTCGGCGGTCGCTCCAGCTAAGTGACTGGCTAAGGTATCAGTACGGCTGGACCCCTCCAGGTGCTAGTTCATATGGGTTTCCTCTGATACATCGATCAGAATATACTACCATGAAGTGGGGCCCCTTTGGACATTTTGACACAGCTACTTGAGTGTGTCTATTCTAAAAGTTGGGAGCACCCCCCAAAACAAAAGAAACACAGTGATGCCACCTTGGGTTCCATTCACACTTCAAATACCTGAACCCAGCATCCCTAGCTTGAGGACCCTGAGGCAAGCGGCGCCGGGCTCATCGGCTTTGGCCTCATCGGGCGAGTCGATGGGACCCTTGGGGGATTCCAAAGGTCCATGCAAAACAGCACATGAACCAACCACTCTGGAATACACGTAGTGAACTGAATAAACCATTCAAGAAACACATAGTGTGGACGAAACCCTGCACCTAAGAAACCCCGGTTGCGGATGATTTCCCAATAAATAGCAACAAACGAATGGTTCCCATAGTTTCAAAGTGGTGCGAAATGGATTTTGTCCACCCACAGTATCACCGGGCGCAACGTCTAGCACCACTGGGATCGACCACCCAACGACTCGACGTTTTTCCAGGCTTGCGGATCACCTGGAACCGCGGGGTGTACCTCTCGAACGACGACTCCCCCTGCAAGTTCCAGTCCTGGCACGTGGAGGTTGGGACACGGGAGACGCTTAGGCCATGGGTACGAGGGAGGTTGGAGCTGTACCTGAGACACAGCCACGGGGCGGGAGGTTTGGCCGCTAGTAACTTGGGGTTTATAGCGGCCATGGGAGCCGTGGAGGTTGGAATTGAGAACTGAAAAAACAACAGCCACGGGTGGCATGGGGTCATGGGAGTGGGAGGCTTTGGCCATGCTACGAGGTTGGAACTGAGAAGCCTGAAGGGCCAAGGGTGGCATGGGCGTGGAGGCTTTGGGAGCGGTATTGGACACCGACTTTGTATCTGCGAATGCATGCCATGAGGGGGAGGGGTACCATTGGGTGCCATGGGCGGCAAGGGGTCCATCGATTTGTATCGGGAGTGGCTGGTATCGGGAATGGCATGTAAAAAAGCTTTTGGAAGACGCTGGCACTTTGAAATTCCCCCTCTTTCTGGTCAAATCTAGGGCCCAAGTCAGGTGGGTTGAGCCATCTTGCAGGTGCCCCTCTTAGAGAGTTGGGCTGTGGAATCTCCAGCAAGTTATGTGGTCTGCTGTAAACCCCAAGGTACTGGAGACTGCTGTAAAAACCGAACCCTTTGAAAAAGGAAACAACTGTCCACTTACTCACTTCCTGAGTTCATAAACTGTAGACTTTTTGGGAAGATCATTTTAGTGGCGGACACAAAGTGTGGACTTCTTTGGGCCATCCACTCAGGAAGTGAGCTTACGTAAAATTTTGGCAGCACATGTCACTCGTGACTGGTGCAAAACAGTAATCAGTCCTTCAGCCACTCCGCACGACACGTTCCATGTGCACCCGTGGGCGTGTACCCCAGAAGGCTCCATCGTACCTTGGCATTGGCCGCCCTCAGGTCGAAGGATCCCCAATCAGTGGGAGCTTGGGGTGTGTTATGTAATTTTCGCAGAGGAATGGGACCGATAGCTTGACTTTAAACCTCCTCAGTCTTCTTCCTTTGGAAGTGAGGGGTGTGGTAGGCACCGTGACTCTCCTTTACGCGTTGCATTGCCTGATGATTCCAAATTCAAACAAACCCTTCGTCAGATATCTTGATCTCTTTCCTACTTTTCTAACGGCCCCAAACTTTGTCAGTTCTTGTGGTTCAGTTCGCCTACTGGGTAAGACACGTGGTAGATGGAATCACTGGCCACATCTTGTTCACCGACTCCCAGCCCGCACAACGCGTCCGCCTGCCCCCTCAGCTGAAGCGATCTTCCAGCCTCGGGTAAATGCTTCAAGGTTAAACATGGCTTTTGTGAGTCCGACAAAGGACAACCAGCATCCAATTAAATGCTGCCCAGATTCTGAGATAGGTCCACACATGTTGAGAAAGTGCACGTCTTACACACGCAATGGCATGACACAACTCAAGTCTGGAACGATAGGGAAACGCGAACACTTCCAAAGCAGTAGGTTAGGAGCCCAAAACCCCCCCCTCCTCCCCGAGCTCTAGACACCTCTTCCAATTGAAAGTACGACGGTGCGGTGAGAAGGGGCCCGAGCGCCGGGCCCGATTTCGCGCATGTCGCTGGACGGAATGCCGACTTACGTCCTCTCCTGGGGAGCCAACGACACAGGAGGGTCGGAGGGGGGTAGGGTGCCTGAAGGAGACCAATCTTTTGGGTTGGCATTTGAAAGCTTTGGTTTGAAGGATAGCTAGAGTGGGGCGAAACCGCATCGTGTTTTGACAGGCTGCTTTGACAGATCTTGTTGGTCGTGTTGGGTGGGTTTCAGAGCAAGGGCATATGCTTCCGAGGCAACACGGGACCCTGTCTTGCGTAGAAAGGGATCCTCTGGTTGACAGGAACCCAGAGAGGGAGAAAGAGAGAGAGCGAGAGACACACCAGTTAGTTTCGCTGGTGACTCACTTAAAAATGGAGCGTTCGTTTGAGTCATAGCTGCCGTGGTTTTCCAATGCAAACGGGGTTGCCCACATGTGCAACAACCTTTGTGGAGGTTGGTGGCAACTCTTGTTAAGGCCTGTTTGATGATACTCAAGACCTTTTGCCCCTCTGCTTTTGCCAGTGGTTGTCCATGTTGACCTCAACTGGCTTACATTTTATCCCTGGGCCTTTGGGTGGCAAGTCTTGTGAAAATACGCTTTGTCACATTTTCATGGTTTCTCCCGAAACAGCTTGACAAAGGCTTCGCACGACATCCCTGCATCGGAACCTTGGCACGGCCGAAGTCCATCTTCCACTTTGGCCTCGGTGTCCGAAAACAGGTGGCAGGCTCCCTTTTGGGTGGGTGATTGGGAAACATACGTGAAACCAACTATGTGTAAAATCTACATCCAAATTTTTGGAAACATCCATATGTTCCAATTGGCAACTCCTTGATTCGTTCGCAGCGTTGCAGTCTATTCAGGTTTCAATCCTGCGAGCTCACGAGGCAGCCCTGCCCTGTGTCTTACCTCATCCGGAGTCAATGTACCCGAGAAAGGGCATGGGTGTTGTCTTCTTGGGACCCCTTCCCCCCAAAAACAGCGAACTTCCCTGGTGTAACTGAAGCACAACCTCAAGAGGGGTGCCCTCATCGCAAATGTTGTTTGGGTACACGGACCCTGCTCACCTTGGTTTCAAGGGAAACCCACGAGGAGAACCACACATACATCCATGCATCCATGCATCCATACATCCGTACCTCCATAGATACCCATATGGGCGAACACAATGCGTACGGTGCAACGCCAATGGCCGCAAGGACAGTGCATGTGTCCAGAGCGCCCGGAGCTTTTGGAGCCAAGGCCGGGAATGCGCCAAAGGGTACAGGGAAGGCGGGGACTGATCTGATGACTCTCTTGATGCAGTTGTGTTTGTCTTGTATTGCATTTGTTTACTGCATGTTTTTTTCCTTTGCTTGTTTGCTTGTGTGCGTTTTTGTTGGTGTCAGTGTGCGCGTGTGTTTTTGCTGTGTTGTTTTTGCGCGTTGCCAAGTCACATGGCCATCCAGGAGGAGCTCCTTCCACTTCAGATGTTGCGCGCGCCTGTCAAAAGGATCAGAAAGTCGGACCAAGTTTTGGCCAGACTTGTCACTGGTCTTTGGATCCTTAGCTCATGATCTTTCGGAGTTCATCTTCCAAGCCCGATGGTCAAGTTAGTTGAGGGGGCGACTCCTGCGCTTGGTTGGGTTGCGTATGTCAAGTCTGTGCTCCTGGATCGAGGTGAGTGTAAAACCTTGTAGATCAAACGGCAAGACCTTGTTCTGTCTTCTGGTGTGGTATGTGTAATGGCTGGTAAGCCGACGTGCATTTAGGCAAGGCAGGAATCTGCGGGAAGTCTTGAAGTGGCTGCTCATTCGAAGCTCTTGTCTCACGCCCGGAACGTGTGACGGCGGCCTGCTTGGGTTTCGTACTGGGAGTCTCCGCAAGCTCCATAAAGGTGGACTACAAGAAGCCTTCAACATAGATTGAGCACACCCCACCCCTTCCATGAGGATTCCTTTCGTAGGCACCCGGGTAATGCTCGAAAGGTTCTTGAATGCTTGAGCTGCAAGACACCAAAATGTTTGCGGTCACCTACAAACTACACATGAGCCACACTCAAAACCGGGGTAGATGAAGGTTAGTAAGGGACAATCCCAACCACAAATAGCTGCGGCCGCCTTCTTAATTCTGTATATGGTTCTGTGTCGACCATTTTAGTAATTACGGGGTTTTGATTGTGACTCACATGCGTCAATAGTCGAACAATCAACTGCAGAATGGACGGCTCCCCAAAGTGTAAAGTCCCCACTACATGTGACAATGTGTTTATCAACTCCATGTTCTGGTTTGCGAAGCTAAGCAGCCCAAGGCTGGAACAATTGCCTTTGCTTGATTCATGCTTATTTAAACACATAGCTTTACCAACCACACAAGCAACCAACCAACCAACCAAACAAACAAACACAAACACAATCACATACACATACACAAAGACAAACGCCAACACAAACACAAACACATACACATACGCAAACACAAACACGACAAACAAGCAACAAAAAAGAGGAAGCAAACAAACCAAGAAAGAAGCACACACACAATCAAACAAACAAACAGATAACACAACCAAACAGCCAGCAAACACACAAAGCAAACAAACCACCAAACAACCAAATCACCAAACAAACAATCAACCAAGCAATCAATCAAGCAATAAATCAACCAACCGAACAAGCAACCAAAAAAGCAAACTAACAAAGTAACTAACAAGAAACAACAAACAAACAAACAAACAATCAAACAAGCAAACAAACACGCAAACGCGCAAACACGCAAACAAGCAAGCAAGCAAACAAACAAACAAATAAGCAAACAAACAAACACA